AGTGGGGGCTGCCCAGTTTACAGCACAGCAGAAGTTCACTTTGAAGTCTGCTTAGGCCCTTGCTTTTTTGGCTAAGTGAGCAGGGCTGAGACTTAGGTTTATGTGGGAAATACGAATTTGGTGAGATACATGTCTTACAAGTGCAGAGATCAAGACACAGTCTGGGGATGAGAATGTGTGGCAAATGGTGATAAGTGGCTTGGGGTTTGTTAAGGTGAGGTGTGTAAGAGATGAGGGATGTGGCTGTGGTCTTAGATCTGAGAGGAGGTCAGGAGATGCCATGGGAAGAACAAGGGAGATTTTGGGCACGGGGAATGGCACTTGATTTGGTGGAATGAGTAGGAGGATTAAGGACATGGGGCAAGGTTGTAAGGCAGTGGATAGTGGTGATGGAGCATGGAGCTGCTGTTGTCTCAGTCTTGGGAAGGCAATGTGTAGGTGGTGGGGCAAGCAGGGACTTGGGGTCCTTGTGGGGTTTTTACAGAGTGGATATCTCTGACACTGTTGCCAGTTGCAAAAGTTCAGTGAAAATTTAATTATTTGTAATTTGTTACCTTACTGAGTTTGTCAAGTTCATCCCTTTACACATTCACAATGAAGTTACTAAATTATTAGAGGGAAAGATGTCCACGTAAATCAAGCAATCTAGTGAGAGTGTTAGTCTTAACAAAACACAGGTAGGTACTCTTGTACTTGCAACCCCAGTATGTCAGAAACAATGAAGACACGAAATGTGTTTTTCTTCTCTTGCACTGCACCATCAGTTGCCTTGTGAACCTTCTTTAAAGAATTGAGTGGAAGCAGAGCTGTATTTTTGAAGAATGGTTTCTGTTTTCCAAAAAATATGACTCGAGAGATGTTTTCCAAATTTGTTCGGAACAAAAGTTCTGGTTCTCCTGTGTCAGCACTTGGATGTGTTGATAGACTCGTTGCAAATGACTGAATGCAAGAATTGGTGGGAGCAAAGAAGAAAGTAATATGTGCTTGTGCTGGCTAAGATGGTCTTAAAACACTGTAGAAAGAAAGAAAAGCAGGATTGTGTAGTCAAAGCAGATATCTGACTTTTCTACCATACAGTTGACTTACTGTTATCTTCAGCTGCTAGTTTCACAGGATCACAAATGGTTGAGGTTGGAAGGGACCTCTGGACATCATCTGGTCCAACTCCCCTGCTCAAGCAGGGCCACCTGGAGCCAGCTGCCCAGGACCATGTCCAGATGGCTTTCAAGTATCTGCAAGGTTAAAGACCCCACCGCCTCCCTGGGCAACCTGTGCCAGCGTGCTCGGTCACCCTCACACTGAAAAAGTGTTTCCTGATGTTCAGAGGGAACCTCCTGTGTTCCAGTTTGTGCCCATTGCCTCTGGTCCTGTCACTGGGCACCACTGAAAAGAGCCCGGCTCCCTCTTCTTTGCACCCTCCCTTCAGGTATGCAAAAATGTATGTTAATGAGATGCCCCTGGAGCTTTCTCTTCTCCAGGCCAAAGAGTCCCAGCTCTCTCAGCCTTTCCTCACAGGAGAGATGTTCCAGTCCCTTACTCATCTTTGTGGCCCTTTGCTGGACTCTCTCCAGTATGTCCGCATCTCTTGTACTGAGGAGCCCAGAACCTGACCCAGCACTCCAGGTGTGACCTCACCAGTGCTGAGTAGAGGGGAAGGATCACCTCCCTTGACCTGCTGGCAACACTACTCCTAATGCAGCTCACGATACGTGTCAGCCTTCTTTGTGGCAAGGGCACGTTGCTGGCTCATGTTCAACTTGGTGCCCACCAGGACCCCCAGGTTCTTTCCTGCCAAGCTGCTTTCCAGCTGGATTACTCCCAGCATGTACTGGTGCATGGGGCTGTTCCTCCCCAGGTGCAGGACTCTGCACTTCTCCTTGCTGAATTTCATGAGGTTCCTGTCAGCCTGTCAGACAGAAATGTCTCCAGCCTGTCCAGGTCCGTCTGGACAGCAGCATGACCCTCTGGTGTATCAGCCACTCCTTCCCATTTTTGTTGGTTAAGTGAAATATTTCTCTTAAGGGAGTTGTGAAGCTTCTATTATGGCTACAGAATTTTGGGATCATGAAAACAAAATTGCTTGAATAATTTATCTCTTAAAAACTCAGCCTTTTCTTTCACTTTTGGCTATCATAGTGACAGTTCACCATTTTAACGTGTCTGCTCAACGTCGAGTAGATTAATAGTGAACTTGTTACAGTCAAAACTGAGTTGCCCTCAGTTAGGATAGATGAACTGGTTGTAAATACTGTTTCTTAATTGTCCTTTGAGTTGGTTGCTTTGATTATTGCTACAAAAAAAAGGTTCAGTGTTCCCATACTTTCCAACATGTCTCCTTTTCCCCCTCCCCCAACACATATGCCACTGGCAAAATGTTAACTACAACTTGAAGAAAAGCAAAATTGTTTATCTGTAGTCTGCTTGTGGTGTAAGCGTCCGCATGAGGTATTTGGAGAAGGAGGGGGAACTCTCTCTGACCTACAATCTTGGTGGTTCCTCTATCTTTATGCAACACACCAAGAAATTGACTTTGATAAGAATTTGAACACCAAACCCAAGGCAGAAGAAATTTTGTTTACTTTTGCGGTTTTTAGTTGCTTGAAAGGCTTGGGTGAACTTTGTGGCATCTGAAAGGATTAGAGGTTAAAACAGAGAAAACAATTCTTGATTCTACTTAACAGTAATGCTTATAAAAGTAGTAAGTTTTCTGAAAGAAAACAGTACTACATCGTGAAGATCCTGGAATTCAAAGCCTGTAGGCCTTTTGATTGTAAGCTTAAGGGCTGTGAGAATCCTTTTCCATACCAAGGTGATCTGAGAATGTAAAATAAAATGTACAAAAAGACAGTTTACCAGACAAAAATTTTAACTTTGTGAAAACCATAATTTATTGTGCAACCCATCTGGAGGGTTGCCTCACTATTTTTCAAGCTTGTATTTTAGCATAGGTTAGCATTCAACAGGTCTTCTATCACATATGAGCTAAAAATAGTGGAACAGTTGTGTAGCTATTTTTGCAAGAAAAATGTGTGAAAAATAAATTCCTCAAGTGCCCCACTAAAGTATATGACCATATCTGATGAAGGAGAAGGTGGATGCCATTTTTTTTGAAATATTTATAGACTGAGAACAATGCAAGAAATTCAGTCAATGGTGAATAGTTTGGGTTTTTTTTTTTTTTTTGCATTGGTGAAATGCAACTTTACTTCAGACTATTCCCATTTTTAAAAAAATAAGCCAATGTAAAGCTTTTAGCAAAACACAGAATCTTTGCAAAAGCTCTACATACTGTCTAGCTCTGAACAGGGACTGTACCTTTCAGTAAAGCATGGTCACTGTAATTCTGTTGCTGCACAACTGATAAATTGCAGATAAGTTGAATAATGTCTAGCTCATGCTGTGTGATTATTTTCCCTCTTATCCCCCTGAGATCAGGAAACAGCAAGTGACAAATACCTGCAATGTGTCAGCTCATATTTTGTGCTGAAAGAAAAACGATTGGAATCATTAATATGTGTTGGAGTGAATTTCTGAAGTGCGCAATATGAAGTCAAGAAACTAATATGGTAGTTTAGTGTGTTACAGTGGTGTCAAAACATGCAACTTGTCTTTAATTCTTCACATTAACTGAGATTAGCTAGATCAGCAAATGACTTCCCTGCTGGTGGTTGTGATTCTTAAAACCTGTAATCCTGAATCATTAAAATATCTTTAGGAAATAGATCAAAATAAAGTGCAAGTGGACTGCTGTATATAACGGTAAATATTTTACAGCAGTTGTGTAAGTAACATCTTTGTATTACTCCCCCGTTAAAGCACTTTGGATTTGAGTACTAGTTACGTAACATAAAGATGCTTCTGAATAAGCCTTCAGCAGGTGGTTGTTTCTTTTTTTTTTTTTTTTTTTTTTAAAATGTCTCCACTGCACCACTTTGGTATGCTAAAGGTATTCTGTTTTTCAATTGCATGTACTCCCCTCCTCCCTTATGCTATATGGTTGCAAGTTATAGCCTGGTTATTAGGGAATTCACTTGGGATGTTGACACCTGTTCTGCAGTGGTTTATAAAGCAGAGAACAACATTAGTAGAAGACAAATTGTCCTGGTCATTAGGATTCTTCAAGGGAGACCCAAATTGATAAATCATTAGGAGACTTGTGTTACAGCCGGTGCTTTCCTGAGCCCTTCCAGCTAGCACAGTCCTCCCATTTGTTCTTTTGCGAGTCTTTGTCCTATTGCACACATAGCATATTGGGAACTGGCCTGGGCAGAGGCGGCCCCTCGCTCTTCCCCCCAGGCGCAGCTGGTTTTGGTCTCAATCAGTTCCATAATCTGGTTCGGCAGATGATCACGCATGTGCGCTAGCCCGCATGCGGGAGGAGGCACTGTAGCAGCTGGAAGGAAGAGGGAGCGCTGTGGGAGATGCTTTGCACAGCAGGACCAGTTTGAACTGGTTAAATACATCTATGAATCTGTGCCTTGATGTCGTGTGTTCTGGTTGAGTGCCCAGCGCTTCAGTTGCTGGTTTGGAGAGCGGGCTGTGTTGGCTTTCTTCATGCTTCCCTCTGCTGTGACTTCATGCGGCTTGACTCCGGATAGCTTTTCCTGAAGGGGTAAAGAACACCTCACCCCATGCCCCTTTCCCCCTCCACCCCCAGTTCTTGCATGATGTCATCTTGAATGTGTGGATGTTCTGAGGTGACCATATCCATACTTCTGATGAGAATTTTTCACCGAAAGAAAGTTCGTCTTGCTGTATTTGAACCTATCTAAAGTTACTGTTGTGCGCTTTTAGCCTGAAAATAGCATAGCTAGAGAATCGGAGATCCTGAAGATCATTTAATTCTCTATCATACACACACACACGCACTGAATATACTAGTGAGGTGATACATGTATGTTCTTTCTTCTGGGACAAAATACAAAATCTGATGTATTTTAGATGTTAGCTTGAGAGCAAATTTTTTTGTGTAACTATATATAATGTATTATTTTTAACAGCTCGCTTTTACACGAGATGGACTATGTGGCTTGTGGAATGAAATGGTAAAAGATGGGGAGATTGTATATCCTGGAACAGAGTTAACACAAAGTGGTGAACTACCTCCAAGAAAAGGTATGGATTTTTAAATTATTTTTTTCCTTTGTTCATTCTTTCTTTCATCGCGATGATTAAAATGGATTTCAAATTTCATACTGTCACGGAACTTTGATTTATTGTCACCTGTCTGTACAATTTGCAGGTGTTCATGTTTTGAATTAAATACAATTGAAACTGGTTTCTTAAAAGCGTACAGAAAGGTAATGTCTAAACCTTCAAATGAAGGCTTAAATCTGTTCCAGCCTTTTGAAATTGAGCTTCATAACTAGGCATGTTATTTTGAGAAAGGCTTGGCAGTATCCTTTTGTTTGGTATGCTTGGTGTGTTTACAGCTGAAGCCTTTGTTTAAAGGAAGTGGACTGAGGAATGGGGTAAAGCTGATACTGCTATTTCTGATTTTGTTTACAGTCTTCATAAAGTAACTAAAAGGTCAGCTAAAAAACTGTCCACAATCTGACTGAGAATGTAGTGCTTTTTTTTTTTTTTTTTTGGTCTTGTAGTGTACTTGAGAGCAGTTCAAACACTGTGAATCTTGCAAATGGCAGAGTAATGCAGTAAAATCTATTTAGGGAGATTACTTTGGTGGAGGTGGATTTTGTTTCATGATGGGCTATGGTTCTGCTCTTGCCTTTTTTCCTTTTTCTGATTGTGATGTTCTTCTGACTCCTTACTGAACAGAAAATTAAACTGGTCAGAAAAAGGAAGAGGTTTGTGTTTCCTAACGTGGCTGAAATGGGCTCACCAAATGGTCAGATAAGTTTTGTCAGTAATTTATGTGACCCCCAAATAAATGAGGCTCTGTTTTCTCAAAGGAAATACTGCCTTTTAGCAGTGAACTATTATTTCAGCTTCTGTTACTTCGTGAACTGTATTGTTGGATAGACATGATATTTCAAACCAGTAATGCTCAATTCTGTATGGAGAGAATTTTTTTTCTGTACCTATGGTTTGTTCTTTAAAAATGGGGGGGAGGAGGAAGTCTTTTTGACTAGAGGAAGTTATTTCTACAGGAAAGAAGCTATAATAAATACTTCATGAGTGGAGAGTGAATTATATGTTATTTTTATCAAGAGTATAAGCTTTGTAGGTTGTGAGTGGCTGTGTGCTGTAGTAAGGACTAGAATTATGCTCCTAACTGTTTCAGAGTTAGAAAACTTTTTTTTTTTGTCCTCCTCCTGCTTCTGGCCCTTTTGAATATTATTGTTGACACTGGACAAAAATACAGCTGATCTTATCAGAAAGGCTGCTACAACAGCTGCTCATTAAATCAGTGGAGGGTAATGTAATATTTTTTTCTTAGGATTGGCTGGTTTTATATATATTACTAAGAGGCGTAATAAACTTGATGCAATGAAGGGAAGGGTTATCCCCTAAATGAATTGTGGGAAATGCTTTCCCATTCTCTGACAGCTCATGATAGAGGTGTTGTGATGGTCGTGGTATTCAACACAGTCTGCTCTTAAGTAGCAAAATAATAAAGACAATATATTAAATTCGTGCTTTACAGATGAAATTGATGCAGTTTCCTCTTTTTGTGCCAGATACTTACACATTGTTTTTAGGGTTGTACCTGTGCTGGTCTTTGACAGAAAACTATTCTTCCAATATCTTTATACCTAAGTAGCCAGAGAGAACTGGGATTTTTGTTAGTTATGATGCTGTAGTGCTTTCAATGATTCTGCGAAGCTTATAGAAAGACTCATAGTATAATTTGGTTTTGTTTTCAGGGGAATCATTGAAATATCAACTAGGAAAATGTAAGCTGTCAGTTCTGATCCAAATTGTAGAGAGCAGTATAAAGTAAAAAAAACCAGAAGTGCTAAGCAAGTCAATCATCTGTGACGTCACATGTTCATCCATACTTGGGACACCTATTCTGGATAATGATGTGAAGTTTTTTTTTTTAAATGCTGGATGTATGTATGTACACATAACTTCAAAGGATCAAAAAGGTATAAAGTGTTAAAGGCTGTAGGATACTGTTACTTAAAAACACAGAAATTCTGATGGCGTACTGTAGGAATAAGGCATTACCTTAAAATGTCAGTGGTCCAAACTGAGATGAGGCTTTTGAAAGCCTTCTGATATCTGTGGTGGTTTTTTTTTTGTTTATTTGGTTGTTTTTTTGTGTGTGGGTTTTTTTTTGTTTCATTTTGGGTTTTTTGTTGTTTTTTGTTAAAGCAAGACTGCCACTTGTTGTTTCCAGTACTGTATTGTGGTGTGTTCACCTTAGCCAGCTGCCAGCTGCCCACCCAGCTTCTTGTTCGCTGTACCTCCTCAATAGGACAGAGGGAAAAAATAAAATGGAAAAGCTCATGGGTTGAGATGAAGCCAGGGAGATTACTTACCAGTTGCTGTCATGGGCAAAACAGACTTGACTTGGGGAAAATTAATTTAATTTATTGCCAATTAAGATCGAGTTGGATAAGATTGGTAGAATACAACCATCTTGCTTACTAGACTTGAGCTTTGAGAAGAAAAAGCTAATCAAGGCTATTTTTGTCAATGTTCATCAGATTGTATATTTGACTCCTTTATGCAGTAGTGAATCATGGAACCAGAAAAATTAGTGGTCAGTTTGTACCTCTGAACTTGCATCTCAAATATTAAAATCTAGAGTGTTTCAGTCTGCTTAGTTGGTAGTTACTTTTTTGCATAAATGATCTACAAAAGTAATTCAGGAGGAGAGGGAGAAGTACATATAAATAATGAGATTTATGTAAACCCCAGTGCTTTTATATAAAAACCAATATATTTTAATCTCAATATTCAGATTTTGCTGCTAAATTGACCAATTTGGAGATGAACAAGAGGGGTTTCTGTAAGTAGTCCCTTTTATTTAGTCTGTTTTAAGAAGTTTTGACTTACGCCCATCCATTGTAGCTCCTTTTCTTCACTAGTGTGATAGCTCTCTGTTGATGCTGACTGGGCTGCTCAGAAGAGGCACTTCGTTCTTTCAGTGGATATCTATCAGCAGTGGCAAGAGACAGGCAGAACATGTTATTGATAGCGAAAAGCATTCCTTTTCTCTCTAGGAAGAATATTCAAGCAGTGTATTTTTTTCCCCATGTTAGCAAGAACATTTGGTTAGGACTAGCCTCTTTATTTTTTCTATATGGCACTTTCAGAAGATTATGTTTGATAAATGCATTCAGCAGAATGTGTTTGCATGTTTCCAAGTATCATCTGAGGACACAGCTGTGACAGTAGTGATGTCCAAATACAGCTGCACTTGCAGCATGGCATGTACTTAAAAGATAATCAGGCTGCCCTCAGGAAATTTGGATGAGATTAATGTCTTGTATACTGGAAGCTATGTACTGAAAATAATAAAAAGTATTAAATAATGTTATTCTTACTACATTTTTAAATTAGAGAACCATTACCGTAAATTTTTAAGACGTATCAGTCAACTACACAGGTCTTTTTTCTTTGTTTCTTTTATTTTTGATTCCTCAAACTTCTGTATAGGTGTGAATTTCTGTGTCAATTGGCTATTGTAAGTTCCAGGGCAGAAATATAAAATCGTGAGCTTCCTACCTCTGTCCTGCCTTTGGTAAATACTGTGGGCTTCCTCTTCTGTTCTCCCTTTCCTGAAAGCTGGACCTTTGTCAGCCTAGTGCCTTTGAATTCACAAACCTCATTCATTCAGTGTTGCACCTGCAAGTAGATAATAAATTCCAAACGCCACAAGCGATTACAGAGAGGCTGACAGAAACCAAGTCTTTATGATAAGAATAGCAGTGTGTGTGAATTGGTTATGGTGGCTACTGTTCAGACCACATATGTATCAAACTGTAGTAGTGAGCAGGCATGTACGCTGGCTCCTGCTTTGAGCCTCCTTTCTTGTGTAAGAAAGAACTTGTTAAAAGTGAGAAGTGCCTCTTTTGTTTCCCTCTTTTCTGCTTCCCCCAGCCCAGCTATATTGGCTGTACCCAGTGGCTCAAGTGTTCAGTACTTAGCTGTGGATTATCACGCTCAGCAGGACAGAGGGAAGTCTGTAGTCACCCTGTTGGACAGTTTGACTTCATATGTGTAAAATGCTTTATTGCATATTCAACAGGTAATTTAAAGAATGCATTTTAAAAAATAGTATACAGGGAAGAAAAGAAACTTTATTTCTGATTAGGGGTAGGAGATGAGAATATTCTGTCATCTGGACTTCTCTATCTGGAAGGCTGGGTAAAACATGGTTTGCAAATGGTTAGGCATGCATCCTTCCTTCACAGATAACTATCAATTGAAGTTTGTATATGTATAAAATAAAAGCTTTTTGACGGAAAACAAATTATTATTTTGTATTGCAGCTGAAATACTTCCTGGATCTGGGACTATCAAATACTATTTTAGAGTGGTTGCAAAATACAGCCCTTGCCTAAAGCACACTGCGTAACTTTTTGCTTTGTGAATGGCAATGTCTGTTGGGGAGCAGTTGCAGGCTTTTTGTTTCTGCTGAGGGATTTCTAACTATATCAGTTCGTTGGCATTTAAGAACAGCACAAGATCATACTGTGACAGGTGCCGGTGGTGACTATGCAGTGTCAGTTATTTTCTTTATCGAATGTGAAATGTAAGTTCCATCTTTAGTTGCTTCCTTTTTATCCTCCATTTATACTGGATTAGGCTATTGCTGTGCAAGATAGAGCACACATGGTGAGCTACTGTGCTTCAATTTAGGAGCTGACTTCTAATTGAGGACAGCTAATTTCAGTTGCTCGGTTTTGACTGGCTAAGCATACCTACCTCAGCTTGGAGGCTTAATGTCGTAAACCAAAACATAGCTAAGAGAAAGTTCTTTCAGGGAAATGTTACCCAGTTGTTTTCCTCCACCACAATATTCACACTTCAGTCTGAGAAAAATGAAGTTAAAACAGGTTGTCACACTGCAGAATGTTTTTGCACGCATTGTTTGAAAACTGTCTTGTTACTTGTTATTTTGGCCTATGCTGGCTTCACTCAAGATTTCTTCCTCCCTGTCCCTCCTTCTGAAAAATCTTTGGGGCTTCCATTTTAAAAATCCCTTTCATTAAGCATAACTGAGCTTCCATAATTATGTCTGTGTTGCTGCTTTCAATCTAGACTGATAGCAACTTTGTCCCTTATGGGGCAAGTGGTTTTTTGCGAGTACAGTGAAAAGTCTTTGTGGAACAATTTTACATCGGCTTTTAATGTGATTTTTAGCTCAGCTCCTTCCCACTTCTTCTCTCATTGATCCCTTTTTCTGCTCATAAAGACAAAAAAAAATCCTCCTTGTGGATTTGCGTGTCAAGGTTGTTTTTACACAATACAAAGCTTAAGTTCCCACCTGGATTGGGACCTTCTCTATTTGCAGTGAGGAGTTGGGAAAAATGACTAAGTTCGTAGCCCTTTGTTGTCATCCTTTGGCAAGGATGTGTTAAAAAGTGTAACAAATTCCCTTACTGGTGAAACGTAGTGTCTTGGCACAACACCCTTCTACCTGCTAAAATCCTAGACCCTGCGGAGTGTGTCTTTAGATGTGTGGGTGAGTGGAGAAACAGTGAGATTATGGTGTTACCGTGGGAATATTCTGCACTACTGGGGCTAAACAGGGTCCTCAGTCACTGATTTAACTCTGTAATGGAATCTGTGCCTTTAATATTATTTGCTTATGCCTTGGAATAGAAACAGCTAGATTCAGTCACATTTTGGCCATGTGTTATCATGCTGCTGACTGCTGTACTACTGGCTATTCCTTGGTGTTTGAGAGAAATGGTTATACTCTCTGTGATTGCCACTTACAAGTGGGATATCCAAACTGCTTTTTCCTGTTCTCAAGTGACTTTGCTATCCCTTCCTTAGCCCACAATCTCGGCTGCAGCACACATGTTGCAGTTATGTTGCCCCCCCTGCCCCACCCCTTTTTTTTTCTTCTTTTTTGCCCTGTTCTCCTTCAGTCTTAATCTGCCACCTCCTGAGCACTAGTGTGTGTTATAGGTTAGGAAACATTGGCTTTAATTTAAAACCTGTGTAATCAAAGCACCTTAAAAAAAGTTTATTTTGGGAGGTGCTACTGTCTACAGTCTAACAAATTTTTAATGAAGAGGCAATCACAGATACACTTACAACCAAATTAGGCACTCATTTTTTTTTTTCAGCCAGATGGAAAGAATAGTTGAATGTTTTTGTACATTGTGATAGGTGTATTTTGTGTGTTCTGAGGTAGCGAGATCATCAAGTGGGGTCATGCTGAGTCTGAGTCAGGCTGCAATCGGATGTGCTGTGTCTGGCTACAGCTGTAAACCTCTTGCTTAATATTACTGTATTCTGAAACATGCTGGTACAAATGCATATGTTTTGGGTGTTGGGGGTGAGATAGGAAAAAAGACGAAATTCTAATGCTTGTCTAGTTTGTTGTGGCCAGAACAGACTAGATTGGCAGGTAGGAATGGAGGACCAGTCATTTTTAAGAGCCTGGTGAAAATGGCTGGAACTAAACTCTTTGTGGGTAAGTTGCTAATGCAGGACTTGAGAAATTTTGGGGGATATTTTTAGAAAAGAAGGTCAGGGTGAGGAAAGCAGTTGCCAGTGTGGCCCTTGCAAGGCAATCTTGTGCATTGAACTGGCTGGAGGTATGGATATGGAAATCCATATCCCCAACATGAATAAGGAGAGACTTCAGCTGTCTAGTTCTACTGTGTTTAGAAAATCGGGACTTTCATGCAGCCTTTGATTACAGAGATAAGTAACTAATGTCTTTGTTCTGTCTTTATGAAAGTAATCTCAAAAGGATTGCAAATGCTGTTTTGTTGCTTGGGCAGAAAGTTGTGGTATTATTTTCATTACTTGCTGGTAATTGCTAAGATGCTAGATAAGTTACAGATGTTGAAATACTGCTGCATGAAATTAGTGTAAATGCCAATAGATAGCTCTCCTTGATTTTGAAATTAAGGCAATTGCTATCTTTTTTCTGTGTTGGAAATGGAATATGAAAACAAGTAAATACTACGGAAATGCGGATAGTTGGGAGCAGAATCTGACTTAAAGTGCATCCTTTGCAAGTCTTACATGATCGTATTAATATTAAATGTCCATCCTCCCTAGGAGGTTACAGCAGTGATTTCTGGATTCTAAGGTCACTGTCTTACGAAATGTAACATGAGACCTAGCACCTGTGACAGTCAACATGGCAAACTTCCCCCCACCGTGTACTCTTAATGATAGACAATATTGCTGTAAACTTGTGGACTGGGCATTTCACCTTCACATTTCTAATCTAGAAGTGAATTCAAGGGGAAGTAGCTTAACTGTTTTTCTTTTCTCTCCCCCCCCCCACCTCCACCG